CACACACACACACACACACACACACACACACACACACACACACACACACACACACACACACACACGCACATACTGGTTTATCACCTGTAGGACTTGACTTCAGGGTATGTATGTGTGTGTATTGCAGAAACTACCTCAAGTTATGTAAATTATTAGTTCATTATGCATAATGCACTGTGCAGGCAAAAACAAAGCAGTATTATTGGATTTAAGATTAAAAGGTGGAACTGTTTGGGTGCACATAATAAATTGTTGTCAGACTTCGCTGCACTATAGAGAAATAGAAGAAAAAACAGATTAAATACTAAACTATTGCATAATGTGATACTTCTCTGGTCAGGGTTGAGGTTCAGTTCCCTCTCGTCATTTTTGTAATGTGATCCATCTGGCTATAATCCTTGCTGCTTTAAATAAAAACAGGGTTGGAAGCCATGCCCTTTTAAGTAAAGGGGAAAGCATAATGCTGTGTTTTTAAAACCAAAGCTGAAAGACAGACGTCGCTGTTGTAGGTCTGCAGACTCCACCCCTGTGCGAGCTGGTGGTGGGAGGGGAGCCTCAGTGCTGGTCAGAAGGACACTGCCTCCTGGTTGATGACTCCTTCCTTCACACTGTCTCCCACAAGGGTCAGTGAGTCACAAATGGCTTTGACAAATGAATTAATTTGTGATCTATTAGCTTATTGCATTTATTAATTAACATATGACCAAATGTTAAGATGTAAAATGTGGTGGGTAATTAAAAAAAAGATTCCTGATCAATTTTCATGAATTGTTTTAGATAAGTATAAACAGCTATTACATTTTTAAATGCTAAAACTATATCTCCGTCTCCTTTGAAAGGCCCTCCAGATTCTAGACCCAGCGTCATTTTAAGTGTGGACCTTTGGCATCCAAATGTGGCTGCAGCAGAGAGACAAGCCCTGGACTTCATGTTCAGCCCTGAACTCTAAAATGTTTTTGTTTATCTGTGTACTTGTATACAACATGAAGAGATGCCTTACATTAGACCTGGTAGTCCTGGGACATGCATCTCATTCCAGTAAATTAACCGCTGTGTGAATCTGCCCCAAGAATTACACAAGCCATTAGCCATGCTTTCAAGTGCTGTTGGATTTAGGGTCTACACCGAGATTTACCACATGAATGCATTACATTGTTGTTATAGGCTGGATGCTAGGCCACAAACTAAGCATCACTTGAAAGCACAAAGAGCAGATCCAGCGTTAGCAACTTGGCATCATAACTTTATGCATGTGAAAACTACTGGAGTTTATTTTCAACTGTTGATGCATGTGCAGATATGGGAATGATTCAACCAGAAAAACTGTGAAAAAAAAAGATAAATATTACAATTGTAATATAAAATGATTTTTATTTTCCAAAATTATTGCCAAAAATATTTTGACTAATATATACTGTGGTTCTTTCTTTCCCTACATACGGTCCTCTGTGTATATGCTTGTATATTTCTATCTAGAAGTGCTTTCCTATAGTTTTGTTTATAACTGATTGCCCTGCAGTGGTTTACATATTATACAACATAAAGTACTGTGCAAAAGTCTTGATCCATCTGTCAGTTCTTTATATTTTACTAGGAAAATGGGACGAAGGTGCAGTGATTTATTGAAACATATAAGAACACACATGATAATTCAGTACATAAGGAATTGTAAAAAATAGAAAATACAAAACAGAATTGTAAAATTATAATAAGCTTAAAATTCAATACTTAATATAAACATGTTTATTCTTTGTAATAATAATAATAATAATAATAATAATAATAATAATAATGATGATGATGATGTTGTGTGGCTCAAAAACTTTTGCACAGTCCTATATGAGGCTTTTGTCAATGCTGTTTGGAAATCAAAAACCAAATAAATGATCAAACCATTATTGTCTTGCTATATATAATCAGTCGGTAACAAGGGGCCCAAATATCATCTGGATGGACGGATGTACAGATGGCAGTATGCGTCTATGCTTTTATGCTGTTTACAAAATTCTGACCCACTATCTTAATGTCACACTGGAAACTGAGACTCATCAGGGAACATTTTTCCTGCGCAATGTAGTCTCAGTTCCCTTTTTTCAGCTGACAGGAGTAAGACTTACTGTGGTCTTCTGCAGCTGTAGTTGCTTTACGATTACATGTTATGCATTCAGAGATGCTCTTTTGCATACCTTGGCTATAAGAAGTGGTTATTTAAGTCACCGTTGTCTTCCTTTAAGGAGTCTGACCATTCTCTTGTGACCTCTGCCATTTTCAGCTGGAGAACTGCCGCTCACTGGATATTTTCTCTTTTTTGGTCTATAGTCTGCAAACCTTAGACATGTTTAGGTGGGAAAATCACAGTGGATCAGCGGTTTATGAAATACTCAGACCACCGCATTCGACACTAACAACCAGGCCACGGTGTAAGTTCTTCATGACAGTTTCTACATGCCTAAATGCAAAAAGTTGCTGCATTGAATATTTGAATATTCTTATTTGTATATATTTCAAAACTATTATTTAGGTGAAAATAATTATTTAGGGACATGGGTAAGTTTATAGTCTAAAAAAAGGTATGCAGTCTAAAACATATCACACACACACTTTAATGAATGTGTCTTTTAATTCAGTCATCATACTGAAACACATTTATAATCATTTAGGTCATTTAGCCCTTTTTTGCTTCCTTTTTTTAGTCGGTAGATAAGAATTAGTGTGCCGATTTTGTCTTATCTGCCATCTGTTCCTGTGAGGGTCCCATGATGGGGATTACACTGACTGAACTAATCCATCCCAAAGAGGCAGATTATTCCCGAGACTGTTTAAATGCAGTTGTATGGGAATGATTCATTCAGCAGGGGACATTTACTGGGAAGAAATAATGAAGCTTTCACAGTCATTAGCAGATAGTATAACAATTTAAAAGCAAGTAAAAGAAGATTTTTTTCAAAATGAAGAGATATGAAGTAAAAAAAATAAAATAAATAATAATAATAATAATATTAATTAAACTTTATTAGTAAATATTTAAAAATAAAGTTAAACCTATATTGTAGAGATATTAGTATGCCATTAATGGCATATTGCAATATTATTAGTGATCCAGTCACAAAGAATAATTAAGTAGTTTTTTTTTCTGAAAATGTAACAAAGTTCTATAACACACATTATTTGTCATTACCAGCCTTGATATTAGTCTTTAGAAACTCAACCATTACATGTAAGTCTGAAAGATGAAAATAGCCTTTGTCACATGCAAGAACTCACATGCTGTTCTTTTGTTATGCAACAGAATTAGCAACTAGAGGGATTTTCAAAAGTGAAAGATGTCTAATATGGAAAGTGGTTGAAAAATAAATCTCTGCTTACTATCACTGGGAGTCTGCTGTTTGGAAATTACATCAGTCATTGGTATTCAACTGTTCAATTGTTGAGAAAAATTTCCAGTAATAAATAAAATTCCATGGAAACAGCCATCCTTCAGAGGTTTATTACAGATTTTGCAATCTTGACTTTGAAGAGAAAAGATGCTGAATGATTTTTACCCAAGTCATCGCTGCAGAGAGAAAAATGGGATACAACAACTTCAACCTTTACACAACCTGCAGTCTGGAATAAAATATTTTTGAGAATACTGTCTATTTGCCATAACAGGCTGATCATAGTCCTGATCATAGAGGAAATAACTTCAAGCTGTGACTGTCAGTAAAGAAAATATCACCCATCCCAGAGTAACATCTGTGCCCTGTTCTTCTTTTTCCCAATACAGCTGAGCCTGACTGAGCTCATGAGAGCAGACAGCAGACAGTGGAGACACAACCAAAGAGCAAAACATTACAACAACATGTATAAATAATACTCATCATTCAATAAATATCACATTTTTTTACACATATACAAAACATTGTATTAATTATGTTAATTTGGTCATGGAAAATGATGATTATTAATTTAAAGGTGCCAAAGCAAAAAAACAAACAAACAAAAAACAAAAAACAAAAACAACAAAAAAATATATATATATTTTTTACAATGGTGCATCTCTACCACAATCCACAATCATCACATATGTTTTAATTATCTCACATGTCACAGAGCAATAAAGAAACCTAATCTCTGATGTTTTATCCAAATAAGGCAAGAACACAGCACCACTTAGACTACACCTCCTGTCTGGTGATTAGCAGTGAAACTGGGGAAATGCATGTATCTGTTCAGGGAATACAGTAATTAGCATGTCAGTAAACTCCACTGCTAAGTTAAACTGCAAATCAATGACCTTTTGTAGTTTGACATGAATTGCAATCCTTTTTCTGAGCCAAAAACAAGAATTTCAGCTAAACATGCAGAACTAATATAGGTGAAAATGTCCAGGAAGGAATTCATGCAATGTAAATCACTTCCAGCATGAAATATCGGTATGCACTGCAGCCCACCAAGTCTGTCCAGATCATAAATTAACTTAATATACTGTAGAGTTGCTATTTTTAATATTTTATATTTATTTATAAATTTTAAAAATCAAACAATGACACAGATACAACCTGTCATTTTTTAACTTGGACACGTTCAGGGCATTAAGAAAGAAGGGGACAAGTGACAAATACACAAAATCAGGTCTGGCTTTCTAGAGCTAACAAATTTTGACAATAGCAAATCCATAAATTAATAAGTAAGATTTAAAAAAATAATGAGTGCCACATATTCTAGCAGTGATGCAGGAGCCCATTACCAGAAATTACAAAATAACAATAACAGAAAACGTAACAAAAAATACATCCGCTCCTTTCTTCATTCCTTTGTTCTCATTTCTGTGACATCATTTTCACAAACTCTGTAAAGAAAATAAACATAGTTTCTATAAGCTATGTTCTTCTTGCTCCATAAAGCTACAAATATTTATTCATTCTTATGTAAATGTTGCAGCCTTGCAGCAGCATTATTGATGACATAGATTTGCCAGCAAGATTGAAATATCGGTAAATACGTGTGTAATAAGTTTTTCTACCGAGGACTGTCACAGTATTAGGAAGACAAATTTTGAATATGTTTTTGTCACAACAACAAAAGCTTAAGTTAAACTAATTTCCTTTTCCTTAAGGTGAGTGTTGTTATAAATTGGCACTATATCAGTTAAAACTAAGCTGAATGCACAACGTCTTCTTTCTTTAAGTTTCCTGTTTCACGGTTATAGTAATAGTAATATTATTATGTGAGGCAACACAAAATAATATAAAAAGTTGCTGTAAAATGAAATTCTTTTTTTGTGGTCTGTTTGTTTAACTTACCCTCAAAGTCAACTGTTCCATCACCATTGTCGTCAGCCTCCTTGACCACTGCATCAATTTCATTTTTGCTGGTTTGTTTGCCCAACAACTTCAGCATAGCATGTTTCATCTCATCAGAAGTGATAGCACCATCGCCATCTAAATCAAACTGCAGAAAAAAGGAAGAAGCCATCCAAATATTGCAAACCTTTTAGAGTTCTGCTGCATGAGTTTCATGCTCTAACAAAGTTTTTTAAAGTAAGTTCATGCACTGTCCACCATGGGGTGCCAAAGACCACAAAGTGAGTCAAAGGTGTGCTTACCTCTTTGAAAGCATCTTTGAGTTCCTTCAAACCAATCATCCCTGCAGTTTCATCCAGAAGCTTGGGGGTCATTAGGTCGACAAAATCCTCAAAGTCCACCCGCCCCCCAACTGCAATAAGATTTCAATAACATAGTTTAAGCAGGGCATTTGTCTTCCTGTGATGATGGACTAGAATGAAATACTTTACAATAGTGTTTCTATGGGTTTCATAAATGTCCATATGTACACACACTGACATAGAATGAGCCAAATGATCATAAAATGCATTATGATGACTAATGTTATTATACCCATATGAAACAGGAAATGTCAGCTTTAATGAACCATTTTCAAGTCAAGTTTCCAGAAACTTTAAGAAGAAATGATGCCATGTTTCTATTTGTGTTTGTAGAAAAATAATAAAAGAAAAAGTGAAAAACAAAAACATAATCAACAAATATGGGACTTTATTACATATTTAAAAAAGTCAAATGTGTGTCACAGAAAAAAAGGTGTTTTTTAATGTCACTGTTATATTTGTCTGTATTATTCTTCATAAAATGTGATAGTTAGACTTGATTTTCTTCAGTTAATAAACTGTAGGTTTTAGTTTTACTTTGTTGTCACATTACTCACGGTTCATGTTGATGTTTTGGCTCAGTTCTATCAGCTCCATTTCAGTTGGCATATAACCCATGGTCCTCATCAAGTTCCCCAAGTCTTTACAGCTTATTAAACCATCCTTGTCCTTATCAAACTCTACAAAAGCTTCACGTAACTCTGGGGAGCATACAATTTGAGGAAAAGTGAGAAATGTAAAGAATTATACAACCCTTTATAAAGTAAATATGAAAGCGTAACAATTACCTTCTATCTCATCATGTGTAAGTGCTCTTGACTGCAAAACAGTTTAAATGAAAATGATATTAGTAATGCTTCAGTAGTGCCACAAATTTGACCTATTTGGTAAACATCAGCCTCAATGAAGCACTCTTCATCTGTTGTTCTTGGACAGATGTTACCAAATCACGCAACACATTCTCATCCCTGGGGACAAACGACTCTTTCTAAAAGTAACAGTCATGCATGCTGTGTATTTCTGCAAGGCTCCTTAAGCTCTGCATACAAATATATAATCATGTTCCCTGTATAATAAGAACACCCATAACACATTAGCTGAAATTGCTTTTGTTCAATGACTTTAAGATGTGTAAGTGTGTATAACTTATTTAAACATTACTGCAATAAAATATTGTAAGCTAAGAAGTGAGAGGGAGTCAGTGTCACTCAGACATGATAAATGAAAATCTTTAATACAATTGTGTGAGTGAAATACATTTATAGTTGTTTATGTAATTATACTTTTGTCTGGGATATTCTTCTAACAGTTGCTATCTTTATTCCTGAATGGTACATTTTTAGCATGTATTATTATGTTCATATACACCCTTGCATGGCATGTTCTTTAGCTACAGCATCTATCTGATCACATTTCCTGTGCAGAATGTCCTGTGTAGATCATAGCCTTCATTTGGTTAAGCTATGCTTGTTAGAATTATGTATAAAGTGTCTTATTACTATGAAATTAGAAAATGTATTCAAAGAAAATGAGAGAAAAGCATCCTGGTGAGGAACCAAGCAAAAATCGGCCTTAGAATTAGTTCTTTAAGCCTGTTTCCTCATTAGCTGAAAATTCTACGATATAAGAATTACCATAGGAACCAAAACAACTATTCGAAAAAAATAATGAATTTCTGTTGACAGAGAAAAAGAAGAGAAATTTAAATAGACTTACTTTTAATCTGCCATTTAGAAATTTAAGATAAAGCCATAAAGTCACAGGATCAAACTGAAATCATATGTTTACTTACATGTCTCCTTTTGCCTCCTTTGAGAAAGATGCAGGGCTGTTTAAGACTCATGATGCCAGATTCAGTCAAGATCCCCGAGCTATGTGTATTTGTGAATTTCTTTCTTATAAAACTATAAATTCCTTCTGTTTTTAGTGTGAGCGAGTGAGAGTATGTGTGTGTGTGTGTATGAACTGAGATCAGCTGCGGTCCACATACGCCAGACGAGGCAAGGGATGTCTCATATGGATTATCTCTGCCGCTTTGGTCTGGAAAAGAAAGATAGGCTTAAATGCTGTGCATATAGACATTTCACATATGTGTTAAATGTTACCTCTGTACATAAAAAATAAGCTTTTTAATTTGTTACATCAGTTTTATAATCTACAATCTGCTTTCATTACATATTTAAAAAAAAAAAGGTTTCTTATATGACCCCGCAGTTAATGCTTAGGATTAGTCATAGTCTCTACATGCAAACAATCAGCAAAAACAAAGAATCGCTGTGACTCTTACATGCTTTAATGAGAATACAGCAGTGTCCTGTTATATGATCATATAAACCAATGCTTTGTCAAAATTTTATGATGTGTGTAACGTCGTCAATCTGCATCATATTCTTAAGTCCTAACTCATAAATACACATTATTTGCTGCATCACATAATTTTAAATAAATAAGCACGTCACCAATGTGACACCTCAAAATAAATACAGGAAAATGAGATTGTGGCAGCTAGCTCAGGCATCAGATATGTATTTAAAATTAAACTTGTTTATATAACAGATTAACTGTATTCACCACATAAAATTGTCTTTGTGTAGTTATGTCATGTCCTGATGTCTTTTGTAAAAACTATTAATGAAATGAATATTAATCAGGGTTACATCATCCTCATGCTTGTAACATTTTCCAAATTGTTAAGCAGTAAATAGGTTTTGCCAATAATGACGCCAGACAAGAAGGACTGCCAGTAAGTTGGGTACCTAATAACCATCACTTTGTTAATAAAGACTTTTTTCTTGAGTTTCTCCTGACGTAATCAAAGTACCTTAAGTGGTAGTTTGTGTCATTGGATTTGTCCTTTTCTCCTTATTCATCATAAGTACAGGCTGGGGATTAGGAGAAACTGGTCAAAATTCAGCTGTTCATTAAATCATTTATTTTTAATGGAACAAAAATAAATATTAGGCTTGTGGGAAGTGAGGTAGCAAACTGAACATGTTTGTTAGTGAAAGCAGAAAGACAGGAATAAATTCCATGCAACATTTAGCTGCATTTTTATTTATATGACCCAGACAAATCTGCCCCTCCCACTTAAGATCTGAGAGCAGATATCCAGATGGTAAACTGGATATTTCTGCCCTGCTGTTGACTGGATGTTTTCCTTCATTAAAGCAACTGCGCTCTCTGGAAGAGTGTATGTGTGACAGAGCAAATGCTGTGTCTCGATCAAAAGCCTGCGTATATGTGTGTGTGTGGAAATGAGTGAATATGGCTTGTACTGTAAAGCACTTTGAGATAAATGTGACTGTAGTATTGTCACAATGGCCAGTGAGTCTTGAAGGTTTCCTGTTTTCTTGTTTTTTGAAACATGCAGTATCATCTTTAGAGACTTACTGCCCCGTCTCTACATACCTCTGGGACCACAGCTGTAGATGTGAAACTGCTTTAAAAAACGATCAGCACTACAAATACAAGTTCTTAAAACAGAAGGCACACATTTCACTGCACACATTTGAATGTCAGCAGGTGTCCAGGCCTGAAATGGTGAATACACTGTATGCAAACATAATCATAAGAGCAAACAAACACTGACAAATCTAAAGTATTAATGCTTTTTTCTTTCTGTAGGAGACAATTTCTAGAAATGTGGTGTTTAAATGTATTTTTTCTTTTATTTTTTAATCTTATGGCTCATTTTGATGATTAAAGACGCTTGACTAATGATGAAAGACAGAAATTTTTGCATATCATAGTTAAAATATCAGCAAGGCATGAAACTGAAATTTAACAAGCACAACCAAAAACATGTGCAAATGTGATTTTTTTTTTAGTTTGAAACTTTTTTTCCCCCCACTATGCAAACTCACATCTTCCTGTGCAGATTAGGAAGGAGTAATAAGAAGCAGTTTAAATCTGGTTCACAGAGGTCAGAACTGAAACAGAATTAAACACCCGCAGTAGTCTGTCAGGATTTGAATCACAAATAATATGACTGTGTTTCCAAAGAAGCTGAGTCACTGTAGAAGATGTAAATCATTCTCAATTGTTCATAAAGAAAGTCTGCATTGGGGTGCTATAAATAATATACCAATTTTCAGATAATTTAAACCCTCCTTTGAGTGTATGCTTCAAATTTCTCAGAATATAACAAACAGACAATAACGCAGAACTAATTACAAAGAAACAATGCTGCTCTATTACGTGGAGACAATGCTGGTACATGTGATGTCCATGAATTTCTGTGCTTTTCAGTACAGAATCATGTCCTCATTCAGTGCAACCTGCTAACTGTTTTTGTCCCTTTTGTACAAAAATGTCTTCAATTTCTCTGAAGTGTTTATTGATTGTATATTACAGATAAAGGAAAATGATTAATGTGAATTGAATTCGCCAAATTCACAGATTAGTGAGACCCTCCACATCTTTACTTCTGTCTTAGCCTCTCAAGGATGTTCTTTTTATACTAAGCTATTGTTACTGATGAACGTCATTAGTTAAATGTTCCAGTAGATGATTTTTTTTATTAACATTACACACCTTCTCAATTGATTAGTTGCCCCTGTCTCAACTTTTTAAAAATGAAATAATCTTTGACCATGACTACATGAATGATCCAGTGTGGACTTCTTATCTTTAAAAAAAAAAGTCAAATAAGGTGCATAAGAAGGTGGTTTGTACTGTCACCTTACTGCAAGAAGGTCCTGGGTTTGTATCCATGTTGGGCCTTTTCTATGTGAAACTTGCATGTTCTCCCTGTGCCTGTGGGTTCTCACCCTGGACTTCTACTTCCTCTCACAGTCCAAAGAGATGCTTTTCATGTAAACTGATGATTCTAAATCCTCAGGATGACAAACACACTGACTTATTTCTGCCATGTGAGTGCTTCTGCTTCTTCACTATGAAGAAACACCGTCTCTGCTGTGTATTACTGTTCCAGAGACACATTAAATTAATCAAATCCCGATGCAAATGCAAATGTGTGAAGTGTACTTCTGTCCTGCTGACCCATCTTATACTTTGTGTTGCTCATCAGAGCAGCAGTGGAGAATCTTTAGGCTCAGGATGACAAACACACTCATTCTGCTTCTGTTTGCTTTCTTTCCGCCATGTGAGTGCTTCTGCTTCTTACTGTTTCATCAATAACCAGGAAAACTGTGTCAGTCAGGTGTTACAGGTCAGAATTTGGAGTCCATTCCTTCCAGTCCTGTAATGAAAAGGCCCGGGGAGACTCTCAGTCTCTCCTGCAGGGGATCTGGTTCTGAATTTACCTGCTGTGCTATGAGCTGGATAAGACAACAACCAGGAAAAGGACTGGAATGGATAGGAAACCTTCCAGCAACAACAAATATGCGAGTAGTTTGAGTGGACGTATAGAAGTCAGTAGAGATGACAGCAACTACATAGTGTATCTGAGGCTTTCCAACTTAAAGCCAGAGGACTCCGCTGTGTATTACTGTGCCAGACACACACAGTGGTTTAAGTAATGAGAGGCTATATAAAACCTTCAGCCATACAGTTTTACAGGAATCTACAGTGGGCAGTAGATGATCAAGAATATAATGTTCATCTCACTGACATGATAATGCTTGCTTCCACGTGTGAATACAAATTTAAAAAATGCAATAACCTCTAACAAACATATCAGAGAATAAATGTATAAATACATTTAAACACTAGCAATCAACCATCAATATTTTGAGTCTACCTTGAGTCTGTATGTTTCAAGAACATAGCTTTAAAAAACATGTGTTGTTTGTTTTTTATTTTGAGATAGAGAACTTAGTTCAAGTATTTTATTTGTCTCTTTCCTAGGTGTTCCAGAGAAAAGGATGTTGATCCTCAAACAGTGAATAAAAGCAAACACATCTGGAAGTATTTAAAACATGCTTTAGTCAGAGAGTTTATCAGTACAAGAGACAACAGCAGGGTCAAACAGTCATTTCCCCTTTTCCGAAACATTTTCCTTGAAGCTTTCATGAGGAGGACCAACGATGAGAAAGAGGAAAAACATTGAAATACAATCCACATACACTAGGCTACTTTACTTTCGTATTAATGAACAGTGTTGATGTGGATCTGCTGTGGTGAATATACAAGTTTTGAAATGTAGCATACAACAACGGTGTTTCATATAGATTTCTTCATCAGATTCAGTATAAGAGAACACGGCACCAGAAGAAACCCAAACTGAACTCTACTGAAACAGCAAAGATGATGTTTGTAGTATAACTTTTAAAGAACTGGGACAAAGCATACCTGGGTCAACAACTTAAAGACCCCTCCCTAACTCGATTTGATGGCCACCTTTTTCCTTCCCTTTGACAGGATGAAACCTTCAGCAGAACCAACGTCAGAGACGGCAGCTCTCTGTTCTGACTGAGTGGCGTGACTAAAAAGCAAAATCACCAGACACAACAGAAGCAGCATGGTGTATCTGAGACTATCCAGTGTAAAGCAAAACCAACCACAGTAACACAAATCATCAGGAGATATAAACATGAACCTGAACACTCTTGATATGAAACCACCAGAAGAGGAACCCTCAGAACACTAATGATTTCCGATCAGTATCATAAGAAACATCTTAGATGTACGTTAGATAATGTTGAAAATACATGAATATTATACATAGATATAAAACTCCACACAGAAAAACCAGAACCAGGTAGTGGATTCAAACCCAGAACCTTCTTGCTTTGAAGCAAAAGTGCTAACTGCAAACACAGGCCTTTCTGTGTGGAGTTTGTATGCTCTCCCAGTGTCTGTGTGGGTTCTTGCCACGTACTCCCACAGTCCAAAGATGTGCAGTTAGTGGTGTTAGGTTGACTGGTGATTCTTTCACAGTGAAAGGAAAAACCTTGTAGGGAGACTGAGAGCCACCACAGGACTGTCAGGAATAGACTCTTTACTCTGACCTGTGACATCTGATGAACACAGTTTTCTGACTCTAAGTTGGAAAACATCAGATATGTCATACTGTTGATGTCATCCTGACTGACTTCTATATGTCCTCCCAAACTGCTCACATATCTGTTATCATTGGAAGGTCTGTGGCCAACTCTTATCCATTCCAGTCCTTTTCCTACTTGTTCTTTTGCCCAGTGCATGGCACAGCAGGTA